GGGCGATATGCTGACTCTGTAAACCGCTTAGAGAGGGCTGAAAGCCCTATGAAGCGGTATATAAGTCTAACTGCTATTGCTATTGCTAAAGTCTTGGAGTTCTCAAAACACCTTTGGGGCATATTGTTGGCTACTGGTGGACTGGGGGATTGGGGTGGGATGGGGTGTTTGAAAAAGGAGAATTAGCTTAACGCTTTGCGTAGGAACTTCAGGCTCTGCCTGACTTCTCCGCAATCACTGTCTCTCAGTAAAAGTCATTTCAAGAGTCATGCTTTCCTGAGAAGATAGCTGAGGCAGGTCCTTTTCCAGTTTGACAACTTTAAGATCTATGGACTTCATCTTCAATTCCCACTCAGAACGCATGGGCTGAATGTCTGTGTCTTATCTTGTCCAACCAACTTTCCTCTTTCCTTTTTTCTTTGTTGTGTGAACTATAAAAAGGAATGTAAGATGGGTCTTGAGGTCCTCCTCTTCCTCTCCCCACTTTGTCAGGTTACTCTAATAAACTGCTTTTTAAATTATCTTTTGACTCGGTTGCTTATTGGGAAGATAAACTGAGGCAGAACCTAGGGCCAGATTTGGCTATCGGGGTCACCTAAGTTTAAAGAAGGTAAGCCTAGGGCAAGAAAAGAGCCAAGAAAGGCAAGAAGGGTGCTTCGCCAGTTGTTTTATCATTGTTCAGCTGGAGAACTCCACTGTTAAAATATAGCAGTTAACTCTACTCTATTTATGCCCTGGGATTCTCGGGTTGACCAAAGCTAAATGAACACATCTTACAGGACAGAATTATTGTCATCCAGAAAAGGCAAAAGAAGATCAGGGACTTATCTAGCATTGCAAAAGCTCATTTCCTGTATGCATGCTTTGTATAAACTTTTCATGATTTGATGGAAATATTTCACATTCCACCTTTGGTGAAATGTAAGATGAGAGTTTCTGGTCAGAGGGCTGGCAACGTTTGATCTTGGATTAAAACAGTGTTCCTCAAACTTGGCATGGAGCTGAAGTCTACACATCTGCCAAGTTTGAGAAACCCTGGATTAGATGCCGTTCTGGATGAACAGAAGCCCAGTGTACCAATGCATTTCATTCATTCTTTTTTTTTTTTTGCTTTGCAGGCACGACACCGAAGTGATGGTGAAATCAACAACCGCCCTTGTGAGATCTTGACAGGTGGAAGGTAAGCCAACCGGGGAGATGCTTTCAGGAACACGTTAATCTCCTTTGAGAAGCACTATCCTTTTAAGTAAGAGCGTAAAGTCGGAGAACAGGGGATCATTAATACTTTTTTGAATGCTTATAGCAATAGCAATAGCAGTTAGACTTATATACCGCTTCGTAGGGCTTTCAGCCCTCTCTAAGCGGTTTACAGAGTCAGCATATTGCCCCCAANATCTCCTGTCCCAAAGGTGCTTTTTCAGGAGGCAATTGGACTTTCTTGTTTTTTTGTTTGAAGACGTTTTGCTTATTATCTAAGAAGCTTTGAAGGGATAGTGAGGAATGGAAGGATTTATACTCTTTGTAGATAACTGGTCATTTGCATTCTTTTAGAGGGTCATTGAAGCACTTGGAGGTTTATCTGTGTCCTCAGAATCACCTGAGTTAATGCTCCTAGTTCCTCTAGTCTGCAATTTTTCCTCTGGAAATAGAGCATTACAGGAACCAAATTGCAGACTTCAGGAACCAGGAGTACTACTCAGCACTCAGATGACCCTGACGACACAGATAAACCTCCAAGTGCTTCAACGACCCTCTAAAACAGGACTGTCGAACTCAAAGCCCGGGGCTTGGATCTGGTGCTTAGATCTGGCCTGTGGGTTTGCCCTGGAAACAGCGAAGGACCGGCCCGTAGTGCCTTTTCCACTGAAAATGGAACTTGGGAGGGCTGTATGCGGTCTTCCCAAGCTCCATTTTCACTGGCAGAGGGTTGCAGGAGGCCGTCGCAGCCTAAAACGGAACTCGGGAGCCCATTTTTCCTGGCAGACTGCTGGGGCCACCACAGGTGCCCCCAACACGAGTGATGTCGAGCTGGTCATGTCCATCCTGGTCACGCCCACTCCACTGTCCCCAAGGTCAAATAGAACCCTCATGTGCCCCTCAATGAAATTGAGTTTGACACCCCTGCTCCAAAAGGGTGCAAATGACCAGCTGTCTGCAAGGAATATAAATCCTTCCATTCCCTGCTATCCTGTCAGAGCTGAAGAAGATTCTTGGATGAGAAGCGAAACGTCTTCAAAGAAAAAACAAAACAGTCCAATTGTCTCCTGAAAAAGCTCCTTTGGGTCAGCCATGACCTGAATGACTGAGAATCTCTACAGACGTTTGCGATCTCCTGCTTTCTAGCCCGCTGATTTAACCACTAGACCAAACTTTTCTTATCTATTATCTTTCCCATATTCCTAGTTTCTGCAAAATGAAGTGGTGTGATATACAAGTGGGTGATATTGTTTGCCTCCGCAAGGATAGCTTTGTACCGGTAAGAATTTGTCTTTTCCTTTCTTAATCAAGGCTGCCCCGGAATAAAAAATTTAAGTTCTCAAGAGACAAAATCAAAAGTGGTTGAGCTTCTATCAGCACCGTTTTGCTTTTCCAGCAAGTTGCCCAGGTTGAAATGGAAGACCAGGATCAGAGGCGTAGTAAATGTCCTTTACTACGCACTGAACAAACAAAATTGTTTTGGTGAGATGGTGGTTAAAAATGTTGAGATCCTAAAAGAATCTGCTGCCTCTTCTAATTGTAGCAGCTCCATTTCGGTTCAGAACAGAAGAACGGAGTTTTTGGGGAAAAAAATGTATTTGCAAATCTCCATCTTTAGATTCGATCTAGTGGTTGGAAGGGAATGTCTTTTGTCATATATAGAGGCTTCTGTGAAATTGCTGGTGGGAAAGGGCAGGTTTTAACATGCTTCCCATCGTTTGCACAGTGATGCTGTTTTGTGTATAACTGGACCTGAAATCATGAAATCCATCCAGGAGGGCAGCCTAGACGGTTACAATCTACTTTAAAAAAAATCTTGTTTAAAAAAAAAACAACTTCCCCACAGAAGGCAATGGAAAACAAATATAATATTTTATTTAGTTTATTAGATTTTTGTCCTGCCTATTATTTTATTAGTCATTCACAGTGAATACAGTGAATACATACCGTATATTCCTTCCTCTTCCTATTTTCCCCATATCAACAGGGTGGGTTGGGCTGAGGGAGAGGAACTGGCCCAAAGTCATTCAGTTGGCTTTCATGCAGTAGTGGGATTCAGCCGGTTCGCACCTATTCGGGAGAACCAGTTGTTAACTTTCTAAGCAATTCGGAGGACCGGTTGTTGGAAGAAATCTCATTTTGTTTTTTTCCCCCCACTTTACAGGGCTAATCCTGTAAGGAAGGCAGGAAGGAAACATTCTGGTGGTGTTTCTAGCCTAACCTTCTAGCCTAAACCTGCTTACAGAAACTGTCTCTCCGGTTAACCCTTATTACATTGTAACGGCTAAGGCAAAGTGCTCATCAACCTGAATGAGGTTGAGTTGGCCACGCCCACCCAATCACATGACCATCAAGCCACACCTACTCAGCTGGTCATTAGGGCAGAGAACCGGTTGTTAAAGTATTTGAATCCTACCATTGCTTTCATGCCTAACATGGGACTAGAACTCCCTGTCTCCTGGTAATTGGTTGGCCTAAAGTCACCCAGTCACTTTTCATACCTAAAATGGAACTACAAGTCATAGCATTCCAGTTTCTAGGCCAGCATCTTAACAATTACATCAAAGTGGCTCTGGTATTTCAGTTTAAATTTACCTAATTTTTCATTTCTTACCAACACATGAACCATAATTTTGGAATCATTTAATATTTGCACCTTTATGAATTTCACCATTCTGCAATTCAAATATATATTAGGAAAAAATGTATGAAAACCATATATTTATTTATATAATTTATAGGTTGCCCATCTGGCCTCAAGGTAACTCACACCAACATATTACATGCATTAGGGGAAATGGGTTCTTAAAACTGCATTATGCAAAATTAAAAACTAAAATCTTTGACTTGAACAATTAAACTGATGATATACAGATAGTCCTCAACTTACAATCACAATTGGAACTAGAATTTCCGTCGTGAGTCATTGCTGTTACAAGTTGAGTGAGACCTGATTTTATTACAAGTTTTGCTTGTAATAAAGTTTTACTTCATTAAGTGAATCAGAGAACTTTTTAAACTTTATTAGACATTATGCCCGTATAGAAAAAGATTGCCTCCTGTTTTTTCTAATAACAATTATCAATCGATACCTCTCACCTTATATTATTTCCCCTTCTATTGTATTTCATTTGGATTTCACTATTCCTAACCCTCTTATTTTACTCATAACTATTATTTTTTAAGTTTTGTTATATTCCTTCATTGATTCTTGTTTCTTTCCTCCATCCACCTATACCATTTATCCCATATCTGGNTGAGCCGGTGAGATTTGAACAGCCGAACTGCAGAACTGCAGTCAGCTGAAATAGCCTGCAGTGCTGCATTTAACCACTGTGCCACCTCGGCTCTTTATATTCTTCCTGGAAGTTATTCCTAGTAATGGGCTTCCTGGAATGGGATAGCTACTCATGGGGCAAATACAGAGATCGTCAAGGCATTGACAAAAGATCCATATTAGAATAATATGTAGCCATGGCTTCATTCTGAAAAAATTGGGATGCGATCTTCTACCTGACTGGCGATTGGCGGGAATCACCCAAAAAAGATAGTAGTAGCACTTAGATGCCCCAAAGGTGCTTTTTAAAACAGGCAACTGGATTTTCTGGTTTTTCTTTGAAGACGTTTCGCTTCTCATGAGATGTGAAACGTCTTCAAAGAAAACCGAGAAAGTCCAGTTGCCTCTTGAAAAAAGCACCTTTTGGACAACCATGATCTCAATGACTGAGAATCTCCATAGACAATAGACATATACTGCTTCATAGTCCTTTACAGCACTAAGCAGTTTACAGAGTCAGAATATTGTGCCCAACAATCTGGCTCCTCATATTAATGACCTCAGAAGGATGGAAGGTTGAGTCAACCTTGAGCCGGTCAGGATCGAACTCCTGGGAGTGGGCAGAATTAACCTGCAATACTTCATTCTAACCACTGCACCTCCAGGGCTCATAAGGTAGATGGCTTGATTGACTTGATCATTATTACTTCTTCCAATGGCACTGAATCATCAGATAGCAAACGCCTAAGCAAACCACAAGAAACAGGGAGAGTGGAGATCTGTGGGCCTTTATCTCTCACAATATCACATTTCATGCTCAAAATGCTTGCTTGCCATAAATGAACTTGGGGTTGAATTTTCCTACAGTGTCTAAGGTGTGTCCAAAGAACACCCGTGACTTTGCTTATTTACAACTGTAGTAGGGAAAGTTAACATGAGGGCAACTTGGAGTGAATTTCTTCAGAGTGGAGGGGGGGGAAATATTCTCCAACAACTCTTTTAAAACTTTTTCCAGTTTTAAAACTTTAATAAACACACACACACACACATACATACATACATACAAAGAAAAAAGAAAAGAAGTTAGAAAAGGGGAAAGGGATAGCAAAAAAAAATTACAGTGTGCAAGGAACAACAAAAAACTATTTAAAAAAGGATCTTCCGTCTTTCTTTGATAGAGATAAAAATTCCTTAAATCAATGCCCCTTTGAACTACAATATACCATAACAAACAGTATCTCTATCACCATAAACGTACTGTATTAATCATCAAAACCCAAATTTCATTTTTTCCAGTTTCAGTCAAAAATTCCAAGAGTTGGTTTCCAGGTAGAAACAAACCATGCTAAAGACATTTCTTTAATAAAAGCAGTCAGTTTTGCCATTTCTCCAATTGTTCTTGAGAGTGGCATTCGCTAAAAAAAAGTTACCCTTCTTTCTTTCCTTCTTTTTAGTCTATTGACACAAATCCTTTCATTGGTCCCACAAAGTGGATGTATTTATTTTATTTGTATTTATTTATTAACTTGTATCCCACCTTTATTATTTTTACAAATAACTCAAGGAGGTGAATATATCCAACACACCTTGCTCCTCATATTTTCCCCACAACAACAACCATTTGGGGTGGGGTTGAGAGAGAGTGATTGGCCAAAGGTCACCCGGCTGATTTTCATGGCTAAGGTGGGATTTGAACTTGCGATCTCCTGTCCCAAAGGTGCTTTTTCAGGAGGCAATTGGACTTTCTTGTTTTTTTGTTTGAAGACGTTTTGCTTATTATCTAAGAAGCTTTGAAGGGATAGTGAGGAATGGAAGGATTTATACTCTTTGTAGATAACTGGTCATTTGCATTCTTTTAGAGGGTCATTGAAGCACTTGGAGGTTTATCTGTGTCCTCAGAATCACCTGAGTTAATGCTCCTAGTTC